TAGGAAGAGAACCAGGAGAGAGCAGAGTCTCAGAGGCCAAGAGAATGGAGTTTTTTTGAGGAGAAGGGGATGGTCAACTGTCTCAAAAGCCACAGAGAGGTCGAGTAGTAAGAGTACGGAATAGTGGCCATTGGTTTTAGCAGTAAGTAGATCATTAGTGAGTTTTAATAGGGCAGTTTCAGTGGAGTGTAATGAGCGAAAGCCAGACTGCTTTCTTAAGGATCAAGAAGGTTGTTGTCAGTGAGGTAGGAGCTCAAGCGATTGTAGACTAGGCTTTCTAAGAGTTTAGAGGTAAACGGGAGCAGGGAGATTGGTTTTAAGTTGTTCAGGTTGGCGGAGTCCAGGGAGGGCTTTTTAAGTATGGGAGTGATTTGTGCATGCTTTAGAGGGGAGGGGAAGGCACCAGTAGAGAGGGAGAGATTGAAGATGTGAGTGAGAGCGCATCGGACGGAAGAAGAGGATGACCGTAGTAGTTGTGAGGGGACAGGATCCAGGGGGCAGGTAGTGAGATGGGCTTCTGAGAAAACCTTAGTTACCTCTTCGGTGGTAGCAAGGTCAAAAGAGGAAAGTGTTGAGGGAGGTTTAGTATAAGGTATGCTAAGTGGGATGCATGTCCGTGCAGTGGAGATGCCCCTACGAATTGCATCAATCTTGCTTTTGAAATTATTTGCAATCTCGTGAACAGTGAGTGAGGTGCTGGGTGGAGGTGAAGGTGGAGAAAGTAGAGAGTTAAAAGTAGAGAAGAGACGATGAGGACTGGATGATAAGTTATTGATGAGAGTGACAAAGTAGGCTTGTTGAAGGGAGGAATTGTATGTTAACAAAGAAGAAGATTTATATAGGGTGGAAGCTTGGTGAGATTTGGTTTTACGCCACAATCGCTCCAGCGCACGACTATGATGTTTAAGATTTCTGGTGTCGTCAGTCTGCCAAGGTTGTAATGGTCGGGGCCTGGAGCTTCGTAGAGGAGCAAGTGAGTCTAGTGTGGATGAAAGCAAACTGTTGTAGACAGTAGTGGCCAGGTGAGGGCAGGACAGGGGACAGATTCTGTCATAGAGTTGGTCAGTTGCAGAGTGGAAAGGAGCAGGGTTCAAGTTGTGAAGGTTTCTGCAGGTAATAGTTTGCTGCTTGGAGGGATAAGTGTTTGAAGATGAGGACACTGTGAAGGTGATGAGATTGTGATCAGAGAGAGGAAAGGGGGTGTTTGTGAGGTTGTAGGGAGTCCAAAGATGGGAGAAAACAAGCTGTAATGTATTCCCATCTGAGTGAGTGGAGGACTGTATACATTTCGCTAATGCAAAAGATGAGATTAGGTTGAAGAGTTGGGATGTAGCCGGGTTGTTGACATTAATGGGGATGTTAAAATCTCCAAAAATGATAGTGGGTAGTTCAGAGGAGAGAAAGTAGGGTAGCCAGGCGGAGAAATCATCAAGAAAGCGGGACACCAGTCCAGGAGGCCTATAGATCACTGCAATCCTCAGAGAAATTAGGGAAAATAGCCGGATGCAGTGAGTCTCGAAAGAAGAGAAGCATAGAGAGGGAGGATTAGGGAGGACTTGAAAGGTGCTCAGTGGGGATAGAAGCAAACCAACCCCACCTCCTTTCTGACCATTATCGTTCTTCTTTCAGGGACTCAGGCATACACATAGGAACACAGACACAACTTCATTCATACCGCAATGTTTATTGTTAAATAGTTTAAGAGCAGATCCACTCGCATCAAAATATATAGATCCAGGCATATATACATAATTCACAGTCTGCAATTGTTATTGGCTTAAAGAGATTCCAGAATGCAGACATGGGCCAGCCCAGCATGATAACATCAGTGCAACCATTCCCACTGACACATTGCGTCCCTCCAGACATTTTCAAAGGTAGGAGGTGAACAATTGACTTTGCTTACATCACCGTAAACCTGGAAAATTTTGCTGTGCCGCTAAGAGAAGAGAATCCAGGTATGCACTTTTTGTAGCAGCGTCGGCAAACTCATCAACACTTACAACTGCCCATACACACCTTAACTTATACAAACATACATGTGTAAGTAAAGGTTTGCTCAAAGGCCAATTTTTATGCAGGATCTACTGGTCAGCGATATCCAGGGTACATTTTTTTTGACACAGCGCATCAAAATGCATGTGTGTTGGCCATTACTGTACAGTGTGTTGGGCTGTCACTTGCTATTAAAGGCAGTGCAAAGCACTACACTGCAATACAGGCTTTAAACGCCAGACTTCCTTTCCCATAGCTAAAACAGGAAATTAGAAAAATCCCCCCAAAATTAGGAAATCCCTAGTTGTCACTGGGGAACTAGTGTCCCCATTGGAAGATTTATGCCTCTATTCCTGTACTGGAGACAACCCAAAATTTGGGATTTTCTTTCACTCTGAGGACGGTAAACTGGACTAATAGGGAGAGTGAGTCTCAAAAACAAGGGCGCAGACAGCAATAAATACCTAATATATGTTCTAATACCTCAATACTGTATCCAAAAAGTATTTTGTCTTTACTTATATACATTATTATTTATTTTAAATATTATATAAAAGGGAAACCAAGACTCTAAACCGTCTCAACTACTGATGGCTGAAAATGTCCCAACAGGTCCCGTTATGAGATCTTACTTGAGGATAGGAGCAAACAATAAGAGACACATAAGCACAGCACAAGGACTTTGCAAATAATGTCAGAAGTAATGGCAAAGTTTGTACAAGTATGTATTGCCTCAGTTGTCTATTATTTGAGATTTGAGGAAGAGGCAGTGCCGCAAAACATGTCATCTTGGAGACTGTGCATGTCTATTGGTACTTGCTGATGCTGAAGGCTCTAAAAACATGGCCGCCTGAAGACTTTCAATCTAGCGGTGGCTTACTTCCAGCCTGGGTGTCCCTGTAGACTTGCATGCACTCACATCCATCCTTCTCTGCAGTTGTGGATGCTTTCATACCCGTCAGCTGTATGATACCCTGTGCCTTCCCTGTTCATTCCAACAGAGTACAGATCATGCTGGTTCCTCATTGCACATTGCAGATGCCTCAGTAAGCACCTTAGTAGTGATTAGAGTGTGAAGTGTTATATTTTTAGTTGATTTATTTTTTTTTTATTGAATAAAGCTCTTATTTGGACTTAAGATCGATCCCATAATGGACGATTGCAGCTATATGTTTTCTGTTGCTGTTCTGCAAAGTCTTTCCGCTGTGTTTGTGTTTTTTAAATAAAATAATATTCTTTCTCTCAGAGAACAGTTATAGCTTTCTTTTGTGAATAATAATGGTGTTTGTGATGGGCGTGGTGTCAGACCCCAGCCCTTCTCACCAACTTGTGACCGAAGGACTAGCCAATCTAAAACCGCGCTGCCACTTGCGTAACAATGCCACTCTCAGCTGCACCCTGCACAAATATTTTCCAGCTCACTGGACCCCAATCTAGATGCCAACAGCCTGAGAGCGATTGTTACTGGGTCAGGTTAATTACGCAATTAACCCTTCACACTGCCACCACCTTTTTACCACCTTAGCAGTAACACTATGATGTTTGAATAAGCGTCTGTATACACACTGTCACCGCAGACAGATGTATCCAGAGGTTTTAAAACACACAGTAGCACTCTTCAGAGACAGGGATTCTTAGTTTGCATTAAAGATCTTTAGAAACGGTTCAACACTTTTCAGAAAATAGGATTTATTACTAAAAAGGTCAAATTGGTGCAATAAAAATATTTACAGAAAAGATATAAAATATATATATATATAAAGAGAGAGTGCGAGCGCGCAATAATGCAACAGAGAGATAAAAGAAAGAAGTTTAAGAAGGTAGGATACTTGCAGAAATCCAGGTTTAAGCAGCGTTCAAGTGTCCGAACAAACGGGTGCCTTTTCTCCCAAAGTTGGTTCCTGATGTTAAAAGGGAGAATCTCTTCATCTTTCTTTCTAGGCATGACAGCCTTTTTTCTAGGAACCCAGCAGGGTGTCTCCTTAAAGCAGAGAACCAATCGTCTCATTTGCGGAGGGGTGTTTAGGTGGTGACTCACACTATGACCAAATCCCTCGCGCGTTTTTACCATGGTCAATAACTTTCTATAGGTACATGTAGCATCCTAGTCACTGGCAGATTAATATGCAGAATGATATCCTGAACGTCCAGACATCAAATATGACATATCTTACCGTTCCTGATAAGGACATATTGCTTTCTACTCTCATGTAGGTGCCACATAGGGGTGTAAGGTATAAGGTGACTCGTATTAAACAGGGATGTATGTTTTACTGCCATTCTGGAATGCTTTTCATGTCCAGTGATGGACTGATTTATAGCTTTATGACCAGGCCAAGGCAAGAGCCTGACAGACATCCTGGAACCAGCTAATTGGGTTTATAACCATGAAGCGTATCCAGCTGTGCCCTGTGCATTCCTGAACTCAGCACACACACAGACCACTTTCCTTGCAAGGGGAGGGGGGCTGGAGGGAGAGAGAATTATATTTGCAGAGTATGATACAAGATGGTAGATCTTTAACAAAATGGTTGTCCGCGTCCAATCGGCAGTGTTGTGTTGTGGATCCAACTTAACTTGTCTTGTACCTTAGGCATGCCACATATGCCCAGAATCTTCATCAAGGTACTAACTGGGAATATATAATATTTTATTCTATTACCTGTATGCGGTCTGTGTCTGTAGTATAATATATGAATTCCTTTTTTATTTCATATATCTTTATTTTTTCATGCAGAAATTATACTTACAAGGGTTTGGACAAATCAGAAAGGCTGCTTATAATCAGCTTTTATACATTTATTTTAAACCTTTTTCCCTTGTTTAACTACTTGCCGACCGCAGATAGTCGAATGACGGCTACACTGCGGCCGGCCAGTTCTGGGTGGGTGTCATATGACGTCCTCCTAGAACGCGCTCTCCTGCACGCCCCCGGGGGCGCACCCGGCAATCTCCGTGATCGCTGTGTCCTACAGACACAGCTGATCACGTGATGTGGTAAAAGGCCAATCACAGCGGCCTTTTACCACGTGATCAGCTGTGTCCAATGACACGCTGATCACCGGGAAATGCAATTGCCGGTTCTCGGCTGCACTTTCCTCACGCTGTCAGATCATGAGGAAAGTACTGCCAAGAGCCAGCAGTTGTCAGAGCAGGGATTGGCACTGATCATCAGTGCCCTGATGATCGGTGCCCAGCAGTGCCACCCACAAGTTCCACCCACCTGTGCCCAGCAGTGCGCCAACTAGCTCCGCCCACCTGTGCCCAGCAGTGCACCCACCTGTGCCCAGCATTGCACCCACCTGTGCCACCCAGCAGTGTCACCTACCTGTGCCCAGCAGTGCCACCCACCTGTGCCACCCACCTGTGCCCACCAGTGCCAGCCACCAGTGCCCAGCAGTGCCGCCAGTCAGTGCCCAGCAGTGATGCCAGTCAGTGCCACCTATCAGTGCTATCAGTACCAATCATCAGTGTCGCCTATCAGTGCCGCCTATCCGTGACACCTCATTAGTGCCGCCTATCCGTGACACCTCATTAGTGCTGCCTATCAGTGCCCTTCAGTGCTGCCTATCAGTGCCCATCAGTGCTACCTCATCAACGCACATCAGTGAAGGAGAAAAATTACCTGTTTGAAAAATTTTATAATAGACACAAAGAAACTTTTTTTTTTTCAAATTTTTTGCACTTTTTTTGTTTATAGCGCAAAAAGTAAAGCGCCCAGCGGCAATACCACCAAAAGAAAGCTCTCTTTGTGAGAAAAAAATGATAAAAATTTCATATGGGTACAATCTTGCATGACCGCGCAATTGTCAATAAAAGTACGACAGCGCTGAAAGCTGAAAATTGGTCTGGTAAAGAATAGGGTATAAGTGCCCGGTAGGCAAGTGGTTAAAGTCCATATAATTCTCCATGTCCATCTTTGTTGATTGACAATATAACTCAAGTAACAATGAAGGGAGAAGCAATTATGAGTGACTTTAACATGCTGGACATTACCTCATGTTTTTAAACTGTGCTTATGAGCAGGATTAGCGGTACGTTGAGTACATTAAAAGGGGGTTCCTCTAAAACCATAAATAGTGACCACCAATGTCTTTGGCTGTATATTAAAATAGAAAATGAAAAATCTATGCAAAAACAGTAATTGTAGATTTCAAAAGGACACATTTTGCTGAAAATGGTGAATTTCAAAATATTAGGGTTGAAGCAACATGGCAAGAGTCCGTAATCAGTGGGCAGTGGGTACTACTACTAAAGTCTACAATCCTGGAGGCATCTACAGTAAATATAAGTATCCATCTAAGACTACCCTGTCCACATTACGACAGCACTGATGCTTAATTTCCTTGCAGAACGAGCAACATTTTCACCCTGTTGAAAGAAATGAAAAAAAATATGGATTTACTGGCAAGCTGGCAGTTAATACATCCATGCCGAAGGGTTGTATATTAAAGTGGTTGTAAACCTTGAAAATGAAGTACAATCTGAACAATAAATGTAACAAAGAATACCAGCACAAATCAGTTATGCATATTTTGCAGGGTTTACAACTACTTTAATATACAACCCTTTGGCATGGATGTATTAACTGCCCGCTTGCATCATACATACTAAGGGGAGTACAACAGGGGGAATCAATGGCGATGGATCTGGGAGTTCTGGTAGATCATAAACTTAATAATGGCATGTAATGCCAAGCTACATTTTCTAAAGCGGACAAAATCGTTTCTTGTATTAAAAGAGGTATGTACTCCAGAAAGATATCATTCTACCCCTGTACAAATCATTAGTAATACCTCATCTGAAATATGCAGTTTAGCTTTGAGCACCAATTCACAAAAAGAACATTGGAAAACTGGAGATAGTGCAGAGAAGGGCAACAAAACTGATAAGTGGCATGGAGGAGCTCAGCTATGAAGAAAGACTAGAGGGACTGAATTTATTCTCTCTTGAGAAGAGGAGATTAAGGGAGGATATGATCAACATGTATATAAATACATCAGTGGTTCATATAGTGAACTCAGGGTAGAGTTATTCACCCTTAGGTGATGACCTAAGGGTGAATAACTCTACACCAAGTTCATTATAGACAAGGGGATACTCTTTACATCTGGAAGATTGCTGGAGTGGATTGCTTTAAAAAAGGCTCAGATGATTGCTTTAAAAAAGGCCTGGATTCTTTCCTAGATACATACAATATAACTGGATACTAACATTTATAGGTAAAGTTGATCCAGGGGATATCCGATTGTCTCTCGGGGGATCAGGAAGGTATTTTTTTCCCTGCAGGAGCAAATTGGATCATGCTTTGCTGGGGGTTTTTGCCTTCCTCTAGATGAGTATAGGATTATAAGTTTTTGTTTTTTTTTGTTGAAACTAGATGGACTTTTGTAATTTTTCAGCCAGACTAACTGTGTAGCTATGTAAAAGAAACAGCCTGTCATCTGCAATCCTCCCAGCTCTGCTGATTAGAAAAAATATGACACCAGGAAAACAATGGTGACGACCCTCCCCTTCATTTTTGACTGACAAACCGTGTGAGGAGACACATGCTCAAGCTTGTGTAAAGTGAAGTTCTTCTCTTGCTTCTCTGTACTTCCCCCTTGACTGAAATTGGTGGCAACAGAGTTTGATTTTTTTTTTTTCTCCCTGTTTCAGGATTGATTCAGGTACCAAGTTTACTAAGACTGTTTGATGACATATTTGTAGGTATTTTTTATCTTTGACATAGAGAGAGATAGACAGGCAGGCACACAGACAGAGAGAGACAGAGGGATGTACAAGTCTTTTATGGAGTTGTGTACAGCTGGGAGGTGGAACGTGGGACATCATGTATCCACCTCCCAAGCTCCAGGTTTGGACAAGCCCACAGACTGGAGTTTTTACTAGGGATCACACAGACTAAGGATTTCTTTTTTCTTGTATACATTAATTATTTGAGAGAAAAGTACAATCCAAACATTGACATGAACCAGGGAGTATCAACATTTACAACATTACTGCGCAAGGTCAATTCAAGATTGGTGTAATGCAATCTAGCAACCTTTGTCTTTCCTCCCTGTTAGCTCCTTTTATCAGTTTTAAAAAATAAACACGAAGCTATAAATAAGAGGTAGAGATTTATCATAAGGAAATCATGGAAAAACACCCAGAAAAGGAAGGTGGGGAGAAGGTAAAAAGAGAATAAACCAAGATTAGCAAGGAAAAAAAAGGGGGGGGGTCATCCTTGTGATAATCTAGTCTATAAAAGAATCCAGGTCTCCTTGTTTGCCAGTACTTCTCATCTTGCTCACGGAATGCCATGTTAGGTTTTTCCCTCTGTTTAATTTTTGTGATTCTAGCCTGCCACTGCTCAATAGTGAGGAGCGTGCTTTTTTTCCTCATTGGTAAAATACAGGGCTTTGCAACATTAAGAAGGTGCATGAATAATGATCTTTAAACAGAAAGCAGAGTAATTTTTAGCAAATAGGCCGCTGACATTCTTTGCAGAGACACCAATGTAAGAGTCTTAATCGTAATCTCTACCACATCCCAAAACTCATGCAACTTCGTACAAAACTCTGGAAGGTCATTGAAGAAGCTGGTCAATTGAGCCAGGCAAAAGAAGTCTAGTTGTTTGAGAAATTAGTCTCCACTTCCGTCTAAGACATGCAGCAGGTGCCAACTGAGAAATGGATTCCCTGCTGTATAGGGCATTGAATTGTGGATCTTGTCTAGTGTGTCTTAATTCCCCACATACTAGAATAGGAAGCATAGAGCTAGGAGGAGGTGATAGTAACGTAGTTTTCAGTATCGCATGTACAGTTCGAATTGTTGCAAGGATTAAATGTTACTAAACCCAGGACCCTGCATTCACTCTATTCGGTCTCCCACAGTGCACACTACATGGAAATGCAATTATTTTAGTAAATTTAAACTGCTAAATACTTTTTCTCATCAGCAGTTAGAGCAGTCTTGTGACTTCTATCAGTGTCAAGCAGAGCACATGTTAAAGCTTGTAGGAGGAGTTTTCTTTCTTCTCTAGGAGGATGCAAAACCCCTGACCTCTGTCTGGACAGTGCTGATTGGCCCTGTGCTGATCACATGCACTCTCCCAAGAAAAAAAACACCTCTCTAGCAATACACCCTAAACTGAGCATATGCAGAGTGCCTCCACACATACACCATATTGCCACAAGTATTGGGACACCTCTCCAAATCATTGGATTCAGGTATTCCAATCACCTCCATGGCTACAGGTGTATAAAATCAACCACCTAGGCACGCAGACTGCATCTACAAACATTTGTGAAAGAATGGGTTGCTCTCAGGTGCTCAGCAAATTCAAGTGTGGTACCATGATATGTTGCCACCTGTGCAATTAGTCCATTTGTGAAATTTCCTTGCTACTAAATATTCCGCACCCAACTGTTAGCGGTATTATAACAAAGTGGAAGCAACTAGGAACAACAGCAACTCAGCCACAAAGTGGTAGGCCACATAAAATGACAGAGCAGGGTTAGCACATGCTGAAGTGCACAGTGCACAAAAGTCGCCAACTGTCTGCAGAGTCGATAGCTAAAGACCTCCAAATTTTAAGTGGCCTTCAGATTAGCACAACAACAATGCACAGAGAGGTTCATGGAATGGGTTTCCATGATCGAGCAGCTCCATCCAAGCCTTACATCAACAAATGCAATGCAAAGCATCGGATACAGTGGTGTAAAACACGCCACCAATGGACTCTAAAGCAGTGGAGACATGTTTTCTGGAGTGACGAATTGCAATTTTCTGTCTGGAAATCCGATGGAAGTTTCCGGGTTTGGCAACTGCCAGGAGAACAGTACTTGCCTAACTGCATTGTGCCAAGTGTAAAGATTGGTGGAAGGGGGATTATGGTGTGGGGGTTGTTTTCAAGGGTTGGGCTTCCAGTGAAGGGAACTTTTAAAGTGTCAGCATACCAACAGTTTGGGGATGGCCCCTGCCTGTTCCAACATGACTGCGCACCAGTGCACAAAGCAAGGTCCTTAAATACATGGATGAGTGTAATGCATATGAAATGTGTTGGCCTTGGACCCTTTGTTTCTTAGGTAATTTTTACAATAAAGCATTGTTGCGCAAATGCCAGGGTCATGAGAAGTGACTGATTTCATTTCTTTACCCAAAGGAACAGAGTCACAAGATATTCTGCTGAGAGCAAGATAAAACCTTGTTTATGGAATGAACCGTGTTTATGACATATAGTAACCTCACATTAAGAGATAAAAACCTGTTTAAGGACATCTAAGTTAGAAATCCTTAAGTCTGGGGGAGGTGAAAAGAGGTTTTGGGGTAGATAAGAAATAAAAGTGTGACTTTTCAGATAACGGATATGGTGGTTGAACATGGCTGTTAACCTTGTGGAACTCTTCTGCTAGCCCCTCCTGTAGTGGGTGTGGCGCCCTTCCAGAAACATGGTTTATAAGGCGGAGGCCCAGACAAGACCAGTAGAAGCTCCCCTAGTGGCCAGAGGATGCTCTGACGCTGGGATTTTTACCAAGGCTATATGGGCTCATCGACTGGTCGAGCCTGTGGCTTCTTCGTGACCCCCTGGGCAGTTTGGTTCCGATGGGATTTGTTCCTCCCAGCTTCCACATAGCTTCGGTAATGTATTAATTCTATGCTGTGACGCTGTCAAATGATGTTTCTATTTCATGCTGTAATGCTCACATTATTATTGGTGTGTGTTATTATGAAGATTGTGATGACTATAAGATATATCCTCCTGTGTGTCATGTGATAATAAAAGTGGAGGTTTTGACAGTGCAAGAATATTGCAGTTGGATTCTGTTATTTCTTGGAATGCCAGGTGAATGTGCCAGGGCAGGTATTCATTGGGTAGTTGGTCTTTCACAATGCATAGAACATGTAATGGATTAAATGTTGATTAAAAGTACCTGTACGACTGCATGTTGATTGTGTGCATGTATATGACTTGTTTTTAGTAATTGCACCCAGCATCACTATTACAATGAGCAATCTTGGGGTGGAGGAACTTGGCTGTCCTGCACAGAGTCCTGACCTCAACCCGACAGAAAACTTTTGGGGATGAACTAGAGCGGAGACTGGAAGCCAGGCCTTCTGGTTCAACATCAGTGCCTGACCTCACAAATGCGCTTCTGGAAGATTGGTCAAACATTCCCATAGACACACTCCTAAACCTTGTGGACAGCCTTCCTAGAAGAGTTGAAGCTGTTATAGCTGAAAAGAGTGGGCAAACTCAATATTGAACCCTACGGATTAAGACTGGAATACCAAGTTCATGTGCGTGTAAAGGCAGGCATCCCAATACTTTTGGCAATATAGTGTATGTCTTATCAGGAAATAGTAAGGGGACACTGTAAGAAGGGGAGGATCAGAGAAGTCAGGATCAAACAGAATTTTTAAACAATGCAGAGGATTAACCCCTTAGGTTCCACAGTGAGTATAACAAGCAGGCTTTACTGCATATACAGACTGATTTTACTGCTATGGGTTTAGTAACACTTTAAGGGATATTTACTAACTTACCTAAGATTTGGTGAGTTGGGGAGCCATGGGAGTCCTGCCAGTGGGAAGTCTATCAAAGATTGTTCCAACTTGACCCAAGGTTTGTGCTGTAATTGAATGCACCAGTTGAGCAGTCTTGGTAGGTGCATTGTTTTATAATTTTTGATCAGATCAGGAAAACTTCTGCCTCCCCACATAAATTACAGTAACATGATTCTCAAGCCTCTTAAAATGCCAGAAAGTAGTGGGATTGGGAGGGCTTCCAAGAAATATAAAAGACACAGGAGAACATTATTTTTAATAATACTGTTTCATCCAAAGCACACAAATGCTTCTTGCTGCATTTGTGATAAGTTTCACATTTGATTAAAACCCCACCAAAGGATAATAGGGATGTTTGTATCATAGTAGCATATGTTACATAGTCCATATAGTTCAACCATAAAATGAAAATAAACAATTTTATGTCCTATACCCACAGTTGATCCAGAGGAAGGCAAAAAACCCCAGCAAAACATAATCCAATTTGCTCCTGTTCCCCCCAAGAGGCAGTTGAATATTCCCTGGATTAACCTATGAATGTTAGTATCTAGTTATATTATGGATATCTAGGAAATAATTCAGTCTTTTTATAAAGCAATCTACTGAGCTGGCCAGAACCAACTCTTGAGGGAGTCTATTCCACATTTTCACAGCTTTTACTGTGAAGAAACCTTTCTGTATTTGGAGATTAAATCTCTTTTCATCCAGACATAAAGAATGCCCCTTTGTCCTCTGTGATGCCCTTAAGGTGAATAGCACTATACTGAGTTCACTATATCAACCACTGATGTATTTATACATGTTGATCATATCCCCCCTTTATCTCCTCTTCTCAAGAGAGAATAAATTCAGTTCCTCTAATCTTTCCTCATAGTTGAGCCCCTTCATGCCTCTTATCAGTTTCGTTGCCCTTTTCTGCCCTTTCTCCAGTTCCCAGATATCCTTTTGTGAACTTGTGACCAAATTTGAACTGCATATTCCAGATGAGGTATTACTAATGATTTGTACAGGGGCAAAATGATATCTCTCTCTATCTGTACTCCATACCTCTTTTCATACAAGAGAGGATTTTTCTCACTTTGGAAACTGCAGCTTGGTATTGCATGCCATTGTTGAGCTTATGATCTACCACAGGGGTTTCAAACTAGTGGCCCTCCAGCTGTTGCAAAACTACAAGTCCCATCATGCCTCTGTCTTTGGGAGACATGCTTGCAACTGTCAATCTTGCAATGCCTCATGGGACTTATAGTTTGGCAATAGCTGGAGGGCCGCCAGTTTGACACCTGTGATCTACCAGAACACCCAGATCCTTCTCCACCATTGACTCCCTCTAGTATGTATGATGCATGCATATTCTTAACACCCACTTTACATTTATCAACATTAAACCCCATTTGCCTCATAGCTACCCAATAAAACAGTGCATTGGGGTCAGCTTGCAAATTGGAGACATCCGGTAAGGACATTATTCCACTGCATAGCTTTGTGTCATCTGCAAAGAATGAAATGTTACTTTTAATCACAGTTCCTATATCATTCAATATATATATTAAAAAGTAAGGGTCCTGAGGTGTCAAACTGGTGGCCCTCCAGCTGTTGCGAAACTACAAGTCCCATCATGCCTCTGTCTTTGGGAGTCATGCTTGTAACTGTCAATCTTGCAATGCCTCATGGGGCTTGTAGTTTGGCAACAGCTGGAGGGCTGCTAGTTTGACACCTGTGCTGTAGACTTTACCTTACACATTTCCTAATTCCAAGTCCACAGCCACTCCTTTGTCTAAGGTGCTTACCTCCTGTTATGATCCGCCAGGTGGTACCTCTGGCAGCCCACCGGACGGGATTTCCCAGAGCGTGGAGTCTAAGTCCCGGTCTGCGTGTTCACCAGGGCCCCTGATGGTGGGGATGGACTTGAAGCAGACCAGGACCAGGTCACGACCTCTGAGCACTCCCACCCGTGGCAGAGGGGACCACAGGGGATGGATACAGGAGGAGAGCCTGATGTGAAGAGACCGGCAGGCCCAGGCATGATGGATGGATGGATGGATCGTAGTCAGACAGGCCAGTCGTTACCGTGGGAGCAGCGAGGTACAGAATTGGCAGGCAAAAGATAGTCTGGTCACACGCAGGGTCAATACCAGGATAGTCAGTCCGCAGAGAGGTCAGATAAGCCATGGTCAGGATAGGGGAAGTCAGCGTAGTCAGGGCAATCCGGGTCAGTATCAGCAACAGAATTCAGAGTACAGGAACACAGGAAAGACCTTACGGCAATTTGTGACAGCGCAGGGCATCTTTAAATACCGCTCCCTGCACTGTCATTGGTTGCCCAGCGTGTACTCGCGGCGCCTAATGCGCATGCACGAGTCTCCTTCAGCCGCGACCGGCCGGGACCTAGTGCCCATATCCCGGCGTGAGCCGCCGAGACTGCGCATGTGCCGGGACAGACGCCGCGGCGGACCCTGACATTGCCCCTCCTTATGGGCACCCTCCGGGAGCCCCACTGATCTCTCCCCCACGGATGATCACGAAAAAACTCCCGGATGAGCCTGGGGGCATGAAGATTTTGAATGGGTTCCCATGAGTTCTCCTCAGGACCATAACCTTCCCATTTAATCAGAAACTGCGTCTGGCCGCCCCTCTTTCGGCAATTTAGGATTGCTTCCACTTCGAACTCTTCTTGCTCGTCTATGGTAACTGCCTCTGGAGGTCTGGATTCCCGATCTGGGAAGGGGTCTGGTCTGGCTGGCTTCAGAAGTGACACATGGAATACCGGGTGAATCTTGAAGGTTTCCGGAAGCTCGAGTTCATAAGCCACCTCGTTGATCATTCGCTTTATCTGAAATGGGCCAATAAACTTTGATCCCAGTTTCTTTGATGGACACAGCATTTTCAAGTTGGTCGTTGCCAGCCAAACCTGATCCTCAGGTTGTAATAACAGTTCCCCCCTTCTCTTCCTGTCAAAAGCCTTCTTGTTATCTTCTTGGGCTTTTGCAATAGCCTTGTTATTGACAGAAAAAAAATTCAAAGTACTTTGAGCAGCAGGTACTGAACTTTCGGGCATCAGATCTGGTAGAAATGTAGGATGAAATCCGTAATTCGTGAAAAACGGGGATTGCCCCGTAGCTGAGTGGTTCGCGTTGTTATAAGCGAATTCTGCTGAAGGTAAAAGAGTCAGCCAGTCGTCCTGTAGGTAGGATGTGTAGCATCTTAGGTACTGCTCCAACGTTTGGTTGGTCCTTTCCATCTGCCCATTTGTCTGGGGATGATAGGCGGATGAGAGAGACAATTTGATTCCTAACGCTTCACACAATTTCCAAAAGCTTGACGTGAACTGGACTCCACGATCAGACACAATATCTTCGGGAACCCCATGTAGTTTTACCACTTCTTTTATGAAGATCTGTGCAGTCTCCGGCGCTGATGGTGTATTTTTCAGAGGTATGAAGTGGGCCATCTTAGATAAACGATCCACGATCACGAATATTGCTGTGTAGCCTTGAGATGGAGGGAGTTTGACAATAAAGTCCATGGCAATCATTTGCTAAACACAATTGGGTATTGGCAAAGGGCGTAACAATCCCCAGGCCTTGTTTCTGGAGGGTTTGTTTCTCTGGCAGGTGGCACAAGTCTGGACATAGAGCTCGCAGTCCTTGATCATGTTTGGCCACCAAAACATGCGCTGAAGTAATTCTAGAGTCTTTGTTATTCCGAAATGGCCCGCCATCGGATGGTCATGGCAGTGGGCCAGGACCAAAGTTCAGACTTCTTCGGGCACCACGATTTGACTTTCCTTCCATAAGAACCCACCCTGGCTCTGGAGGGACATCCCTGGTGGATCTGGCATTCCCACGGATGCGTCAAGAAGCTTGGAGCGCAACTCTGAAGAGCGAGAAAGTTCCCCGAAGGTAGTATCGTGTCCGGCTTTGGAATGTCTTCGGGGTCTTCAAACATGCGAGACAGGGCGTCCGGTTTTGTGTTCTTAGAGCCCGGTCGATACGTGATATGAAAAGAGAACCGAGAAAAGAAGAGTGCCCATCTCGCCGGGTGAGGTCTCAACCGTCTTGCTGTTCTCAGGTACTCGAGGTTCTTGTGATCAGTAAATATTAGAATTGGGTGTGTGGCTCCTTCTAGTAGATACCTCCATTCTTCCAGAGCGGTCTTTATAGCCAAGAGCTCCCGATCTCCAATGTCATTTCTTTCCGCTGGTGTCAGTTTTCTAGAAAAGAACGCTACTGGATGCAGGAGCTCCTTGGTGCCTTTCCTCTGGGACAGAACCGCCCCTACCGCGTTTTCTGAGACATCCACTTCTAGGACATACGGTAGAGATGAATCAGGGTGGCTGAGAATAGGAGCGGAGGTGAACAGTTTCTTGAGAGTTTCAAAGGCTGTTTGAGCCTCAGGCGTCCATTTAAAGCGGATCCCCTGTTTAGTCAATTGCGTGATGGGGGAGACCAGACCAGAGAAGTTTCTGATGAATTTCCTATTAAAGTTTGAGAACCTGATAAAACGTTGTACGCCCTTCTTATCTGCGGGTATCGGCCAATCTAAAATTGCCGTGACCTTCCGAGGATCCATCGTGACCCCCGCAGGAGAGATGACCAGCCCCAGGAATGTGATACTACGCTGTTCAAAACTGCATTTGTCAGCCTTAGTATACAGCCCATGTTGGCATAAACATTCCAACACCCTCACCACATGATCCCGATGAACCTCGAGTGAGGAGGAGAAAATTAGAATGTCGTCCAGATAGACGACCACGAAAACATAAAATGCTGGAAGGTGGCCGGGGCGTTGCAGAGTCCGAATGGCATAACCAGATATTCTAAGTGGCCGAATCAAGTACGAAAGGCCGTTTTCCATTTGTCTCCTTCCCTGATACGAACCAGATTGTAGGCCCCCCGTAAATCTAACTTAGTAAAAATCACAGCGGATTTTAATCCATTCGGGTAATG